GCCAGGCTCATTGCCCCCTCGCTGCACCACCCTTTCGACAGCGAGACGTTCTCCCCCTCCGCCCTATTCCTGTGGAGCGAAGATCAGGGACTTCATCCATGGGCGGGTCGGCACGCAGACGGGCCGCCAGGGGTGCTGCGTGGCGGGAGTGGTACAACGACGCGGTGTCCACGCTCAACGACATGTACCACTGCGGCCCGAACGATGTGATCACCCCGCCTCCTGGTCTTCCTCCGCGTGCTCGTAGTGACGCTGAGGAGTATCTTGCTCAACAGTATCGCGATTTTGAACTACCTCCTGGATATTCCGAATCTCCTCCAATATGCGAGGCAGCCCTCGCAGAGTTGCTCGCATCGGCGCCTGGGTACTCTGGAGAGTCTCGGGTAAGACCCTACAACAAGGAGCTCGTCTCCTGGCCGAAGCACGTGGCGCCTGTCCCGACGGCCGACCTCGTGTCTGACGCCGATCGTTTTATGTTGGCAGGGTGGAGGCATCAAATGCTACGTGACCCTGCTGATGCAGCTGCTCTCAGGAAGGACTCGGGTCTGGGGTCGCCCTATGTGGATCCACGCCTTCGGTATCGCCCTCGGGAGCATGCTGATTTTCTGTTACGCCTGGACCAGGCTGGCATGCTTGAGTGGGAGGTCGCCGATCGTCAGGCTACCTACTCTACTGGCTTTTTCTTCGTCGAGAAGTCCAACGGCGTCAACCTGCGCCTCGTCTTCGACGCGCGGGTGGCCAACATGTCCTTCTCTGCCCCTCCCTCTACGAGATTGCCGACTCCGTCGGCATGTAGCGCGCTCGAGGCCGACCGCGACTTCTACGTGGCCCAGGGCGACATTCAGTGCGCTTTCTACCACGTGAAGTTACCGCCACATCTGCATCGATATTTTTCCTTGCCCGTCGTCCCGGATCGGTACCTGGGCTTCAAGCGGCTCAATGGCATGAATATCGGGGCGGACGCCTTCCTGCAGCCCTTCGTCTCCGTCATGCCGATGGGCTGGTCGTGGGCCCTCCACTTCTGCCAGTCCGCCCTGACCACGGCCATCCTCGACTCGGGCATCGACGAGAGCTCTTTGCTGGTGGACGGCGCTGCCATCCCCCCGTTGCGGAAGGACTCCGACGTCATTGGCGCGGGCTACGTAGACAACTTTGCCACCGTGTCCCTCGACCCTGAGGTGGCCGCGACAGCCTGCCAGGCCATGCGCGACGTGTTCGCGTCGAGGGGTCTGCCCGTCGACGAGTTCGCCCCCGCCGCCAAGCGCGTGGTCTTCACTGGCTTGGACATTCTCGGCGACGTCGGCATCGTCCGCTGTAAGATCGACAGGCTCTGCCGGTTGCGTCAAGCCCTGCTTGGTCTACTTAGACGTGGCTTCGCATCGCCCTTGGCCTTGTCAGCAGCTGTGGGTCACTGTACGTGTGGTATGATCACCAATAGGCCCATGCTGTCGATCTTCAACGCAGTCTACCGCTTCATGAGGCTGGACGCCCGAGTGGCCGCGCCGCTGTGGCCGTCGGTCATCGCCGAGCTGCGCGCGGCAGCCGCCCTCGCACCCCTATGGTGGGCCGACGTCAGAGCAGAGTGGTCGGCGACTACTTTCTGCAGCGACGCCTCCCCCTACGGCATCGGGGTCTGCCGCAAGACCGCCGACCAGGAGGTCGTCGCGGCCGCTGGGCGCCTGTCTGAGAGATGGCGCTATCGGTTCTCCGACGCCGTGCACGCCCGTGCCCACGCTCTCGGGATCGAGCCTCGCACTGTGCTTGAAGCTACCGTGGACAAAAAGTGCCTCGAAGAAAGCCGCCGCAGTCCGAGGCCTCCTAAGACCCCTGAGGGCCCTCCGTCTACGCCATCATCGTTACATCAGCCAGCTGACGCTGCCTCCCTCGACGGCTTCGACGAAGTTCCCGACTCGATCACGGCTTTCGACGGCTGGGCCACGATGCACAGTTCGCGTCACTCGAGGTTCGGCTTGGGCATTATGCGATACGAGGCGGAGGCTCTCGGGTTTGCGATGCGACACTCGGCTCGGTCTGGACGGCTTCGTCATCATCGCATCTTGTTCACCGTTGACAATTTGGCTCTAGCTCTTGCCGCTGGCATGGCGCCCGAGGCCTTCGCGACCCTCTACGCCGTCTATGCGCCCTGTCGGCGGCCACGGGCATCCGCCGCGCCATTCGGTGGATCCCCAGCGAGAGCAATGCCGCCGACTCGCCGTCCAGGACGGGTTTCTTCGTCGGGCCGGCCTTCGAGGAGCACCAAGCGAATGCCCCCCGAACTTCGACGGCAGCGGACCACGACACTGGCGGAGCAAAGGACCAAGATCCATCCTGGGCCAGCGCTGCTCGCCCGAGGGGCCCTGTCGGTGCTGGAGACGGCCGCCGCGTCGGATACGACCATGGCCAACTACTGGGGCGCCGCCAAGAAGTTCGAGGAGTGGTGCCGCTGGACGTCCCAGACGTTCACCACGGCAGAGGAGGTCGATGTCATCCTAGTTACCTATTTCGTGAACCTCTTTCTGGACGGCTTCGACAGTGCCACGGGCCGTGTACTCATGGCCGCTCTGAAGCACTACCTGGCCGCGATCCTCGCTGGCAGGACTCCGTGCCCACGGGCGGCTCGCGCCTTGACAGGCTGGCGGAAGCTCGTTCCCCCTCGGATGCGGCGACCTCTTCCTCGAGCGGCGATGGCGTCCATCGTGGGTGTCCTGATAGCGTGGAAGCTCTTCGGCATGGCTGTGTTCATCAGGCTGGTGTTCGACACATACCTGAGGCCCAGCGAGGCGTGCCGCCTCACGGCGGGGAGCGTGATACGACCTCGACCCGACGGCGTCCTGGGGCGCGGCCACTGGGCCCTGATCGTCAACGACGCCTGCCTCGACCGCCCTGGCAAGACAGGCGGGATGGACGAGGACGCGATCGTCGACAACCCGACCATCTGGCCGCTCCTGGAGGCCCTGGTCCACGACAAGGGCCCGACCGACGGCCTGTGGACCTTCGCCCCCGACGAGGTGCGGAGTATGTTCCGTCGGGCGGCAGTTGCCCTCGGTCTGGAGACCGAGTTGACTCTCTACTCGCTTCGTCATGGGGGTGCGCCCGACGACCTGCTGTCGCTCAGGCGCACGAGGAAGGAGGTCAAGGACCGCGGCCGCTGGAGGACGGACCAGAGCCTCCTCCGCCACGCGAAGCGGGCCCGCATGCAGCAGCGGATCGCCAGCCTAGGCCAGAACATCGTGGAGTTCGGCGAGCAGGTGGACAGGCAGATGAACGATCATCCTGCAGACCACGGCCTCGGGCGTCTTCCCACTGAAGGCGCCTCTGGCAGTGACGCCGACGCCGCCTGCTGTCAAGCCGCAGCCCCCACAGATCACTGCACGGCGGGCCTTCGCCTGACGCGCCCCTGGCGCTCTGCCAGGCGGGCGTCTACGAGAAGCAGGTACTGCCCTGCGCTGGTGCTCGGCTACGACGGTGGGGCGGTCCGCGCCCTGCAGCGGTTGGTCTTTGGCGTCGTGCACCTCGACTCGAGTCGCCGCGCAGGTGACGACATCACCGATCCCGCAGTGATACGGCGCGTCTTAGGCTGGATTCGCTCTAGCTGCCTCTCGTGCGTGTGGGTGGAGCCCGACACCGCTACCTGGCTTCGCCAGTCCCCTGCTGTGCGGTCTAAGCTGCATCCTCGCGGCCCCCCGTCTTTGACCAACTGTAAAGCTCGATCCGTTTGCGTCGCCAACCTCTTTCAGGGTCAGTACTTGCGAGTCCTGTCTGAATACTGTGAGAAGAAAGCGCCCGCCATTTTATGCCATCCCGACGCGTCTTTTATATGGGACGGCCGTGCGTGCACCACTCTTGTGAGCCAGTGTTCTTCTTCGACAGTTTTCGACTCATGCATGTGCGCTGGTCGCGTCAGAAGCAGATTTCGGCTTGTAAGCTGGAACGTGAAGAATATTGATCGGCGATCCCTGACCTGCTCGCCCGTTGCCTCGCCGTGCCGTCGCACTCGCAAGCGACGCCTCGGCGAGTTAAGCATCCCATCGTTAGACCGGCAGATGCGCAGCGCTGCGCGCCACCCACCTGCCTGTATCCTACGATTCGCATGTGAAATGATGGCCAACAGCGTCGATAGCCTTCGATACGTCTCCCGACTATCGAGATGTGTGTGAGTTTTCATTCAAGTATTGCGGCTTTCAGCCAGTGTCTTGGACTAGCCATATTACCTGGTGCTGGCCCCTGCGGCATCAGATTTCGAGTCCTCGCCTGGCGCCCTCTTGCACAGAAAGAATCGTCTGGCCACAGAGTCGTCCACATTATGCTGCCCGCGGCTATTTGTGGCTCTCTTTCGGGCCGCGCTTCCATTATCAAGTCTCTCCCTCCCCCCCTTGTCTCCCAACTCAAGAATGTTTTCTTTGGCCTGGTGCTGGCCCCTGCGGCATCAGATTTCGAGTCCTCGCCTGGCGCCCTCTTGCACAAAAAGAATCGTCTGGCCACGGAGTCGCCCACATTATCATCATCATCAACATCAACATCAACATCATCATCATCAGCAGCATCATCACTATCATCATCATCACCAGTAGCAACATCAACATCCTATCATCAGCACCGTCATCATTGTTATCATCGTCGTCGACATCATGGTCATCATGGTCATCACCTTCTTCATCATCATCATTAGCAGCAGCATTAGCATTATCACTATTTTCATCATCAGCATCATCAGCATCATCATCATCGCCATCATCATCATCATTTCCACTTTCAGCATCAGCATCCCCCATCATCGGTGCCACCATCATTACCATCATCCTCATCTTCATCATCACCATCATCATCATCACCACCATCATCATCATCATCCTCATCATCATCATCAGCAGCAGCAGCATCAGCAGCAGCAACATTATCATTACCACCACCACCATCATCAGCATCATCATCATCATCATCACCATCATCCGCGTCGTCGTCGTCATCATCTCCTCGCGGCCCCCCTCCTCGAGCCAGAGGTCTTCGCCAGCAAGGCCGCCCCCCGGACGCGCGGCGGCCGCGAGCGGAGGGTCGCGCGGTTCCCTGCGGGGCGGTGTGGCTCCTCCGCGCCGAGCCGATGCGGCCCGATGCCTTGCGTCGCGCTGCTGTGCGATCTCGGCGGTTCTCGACGGTCCTCGGCAGGTGTCAAGCCCAGACGTGGCGGCGTCGTGCAAAAAATCAGCACGGGAGGTTTTTGATGAATTTCGGCCTCGGGGGGACCTCGCTGGGCCTCGGGACCGTCAAAAAGCGACTCGGGATGAAAAACCGGTCCCGGGGAAAGGGTCGGGACTCCCACGGACCCCGCATTGAAAAATGCAGGACGTCGCATGTCTGGGAACGTTTTCGTTGGATTTCAAGCGTTTGCGTCGATTCAAAGTTTTACAGTCTTCAAGCGTTTTCGTCGGTTTTCGGCGGTTTCCCAGCCTCGTGGTTCCTTCCTGCAGCTGCGCCTCGTCGGGGTGGGTCCAGGGGTGCCCGAATCGTCCCGAGCGGCCGCTGGAGAGCCGAGTTCTGATCCAGAAACAGTCGGGCGGGTGGCAACGGGGGGGGACTTGAGCGAGGGGTGCAGGATCGGGCCCTCGAGGGACCCTCTCGCGCCCCTTTGGGGCTCGCTGCCTCCCAAAACGGGGCCCGAAGGGCCCTCGGGCCCCCCCCCCCCCGCACCGCCCGTCCGAGACAGGCGGGTGCACGCTCGGGCACTTTGGCTTGGCGTGCCGGGCCTTTGGCCCACCACGCTCCGGCGGGGCACGCTGACCACGCCCAAGGTCCCCGGGCGCCAGCGCCCCCGAGCCTCTCACGGCCCGCGCGCCCCTCGGGGCGGAGCGACAGGCTGCCCGCGGGCAGGGCAATGGTACAGAGCATCACCGCGGCCGCCGCCGCGACACGCTGAGCAGACGCTTCCGACCGTGCGTCCTACAGTCAAGACGCTGAAGTAAGGAAAAGTTTGGGTTCGGAAGGGGCTTCGTTCCTCAGCCCGACCGTAGGGCGGCCGATCCGATTCGATCGTGGACTCCGTGCCGGTGCGGGTCGAGCCAGCGCGCGTTGCGTTCCCATCCGATCTCCCCCCCATTCGGCACCGGCCCATCATGCCCGTTCTGTCCGCCAGTGTTCAGTCGGGCACGTCCTTCTACAGGAGGAATACCCCACATAGTAGAGAATAGTCCGGGGAGAATTTTCATTTTTTTTAATGCGTTTTGATTATTGTTTTTTCGTCGAAAATCCGCCTGTAGGAGTAAACGCCCGCCCTAACGCCAGTGTGCTGCCTGCCCGCGGCGCGGGAAGGACAGGTCAGAGGGTGCCTCCCCAGATCGGGGGAACGTAAGACTCGGGTGCTCCGGAACTCGGCTTCGCTGACGCTTTTTGACGAGCGCGTCTTGGATTTGAGTGATCCAGTTTTCGTGGGACGTTTGCAGCTGGAGCTCGCGTCAGATTTCAGACTGGATCTCGTCGTTTTCCCAATGGCCCCGTTAGGCCAACCCGAGTCCCCCATACTCGAGTCTTGCGTCTGCCCGATACACCTCCGGCGCCTCGGTGCACTCGTGGCCAGCTCGGTGCGGCCGAGGCGGGTACGTGTGGAAAGAGAGGGGGGCGAGGACCGACAGCAGCTCCTGCCCATCTTGAACTCCGGGCGCAGCGAGGAACCACAACCACAATTGTCAAGCAGTGGCGAGGCGCCCTTGCTTGTCTATAGGCCCACCAGAACATGTTCAAACAACATATTGTGGTTTGCGCGAGATTTCCTTAGAACATTTATGGTTGATACTGTTTTGTTCAAACACAGTGGCTTCATGTTCTGAGAACGTTGTTCTCGTTTTGAAATATTTCTTATTGTGAAGAGAATGTCGTGGTAGGCCAATAGAGGAATGCCAGGACGGTCGGTCCCTGCCCAAACAACCACAGCTCATGAGTGGAATTTTCTGGGTGGTCCCAGGTGAACCCTCCGACCTCGACATGAACACTGTTGTTGTGGCTGTGGTCGATCTGGACGTCCGGGGGCGCCACCATCGACCGTAGCCAGTACTGAGCTGGTTTCGGTGGCCTGGCAACTGCGGGCATGCGCAAGACATCCCCCAGGGTGTGCCCCTCGTGAGCAGGACTCGCCGTGAGCAGGACTCGCCGTCGGTCTCGCCGCGGACGTTGTCCACTCGAGACAAGCAGTCGCTTGCTCAACAGCGGCCGCTGCCGCTCTCGGACGCTGCTTGCTGTTGGGCACGGTGCCCCGTCCCCATGTCGGGCGTGCTGACTGGCGCTTCTCGTCAAGTCAGGCCTTCCGGGGCCGCTCCCGGGCCCCTGGTCGGTCCAAAGTCCGGCCGAGTGTGGCGGATGAGTTCGAGAGCTCTGGCTCGAGGGAAGAGCAGAAGGCAGAGGAAGGAGGATGAAGAGAGGGAGGAGGAGGAGAGGGAGGAGGAGGAGGAGGAGGTCTCACTCGTCTCGGCCCATGCCCTGGCTCTGCGGTTTCCTCCTCCTCCTCCTCCTCCTCCTCCTCGTCCTCCTCCTCTTTCTCCTTGCCACAGGTTCTACGGTTGACCGAAGCTGGGGCGAATGACCATGAGACGCCAGTCCGCTCGCGCGGCGAGCAGCGGTCGCTGGGCGGCGAGTCAGGGGACTCGCCTTTGGAGCCGGTGCCGTGGGTGCCACGCTTGTGAGTACAACGACCGCCTGGACCAGGAGAAGCCGATCTGCCCGCGCTGCAATCGGCCCATGAAGCTGCACCGCGGTCGCTCGCGATCGGCGTCGTCCGCTTCGGCACGGCTGAGGTCTTCCCCGCGGACGGCGACCACGGCCGCAGCGACGCCCACGGTGAAGTTCGCGGAGGAACCTCGGCGGAGCCCACTCGCCAAGCATTTGCAGCAGGCGCTGGCCGTGGTCACGGATCCTGCCCTGAAGGCCATCCTCAGCGCGCAGGTCCAGCAGCTCCAGGCCCAGGACGCCAACAGCGGCATGCACCAGGCCACCGTCATCGAGACCCTGCGGAAGGCGGCCAGTTCCGCGTGAGAACCCCCCGGCGAGCCTGTTATCTCCCCAGGAAACCAGCCAGCCTCTCAGATCAGCGATGCTATACTTAGCCCGACATTTGCAATTCCCGAATCTGTTTGGCGTGCCCACAGGGAACAAGTCAGTGTTTTGCCGCCCCACCTGACTCGGCCAGCCCCTGCTGCCGCTGCTTCCGTAGCTTTTCGGCTCAAGCCTGTCATGTCCTTTCAGCTTGGCCAACTCTACGGGTCATGGGTGACCGCCGTGGAGGCCTCCATTTCCGCGCATCGCCAGATTCTTCTTGCCAGCGCCACCAGAGCAGAAGGCGCCCAGTTCCAGATTGCAGTCGCTCGGGACCTCCAGCGTCGACGGAGCGAGCCCCTGGCCGACCTCAGCTGCACTTTGTGGACCAGACTACACGCGGTATTGCAGGGCATCTATCGGCGCCGAGCTCGACAAAACGGAGTGCATCAACTGCAGCTGCTCTACGCCGCGCTCGGACGTCTGGCCCAGGCCTCGCCACCAACCGCTGCCCGCGTCATCGGCCAGAAGGACGACCGCAGCTGGGCCGACTGGAGTCAGCTCCTACAGTCTGTCGAGCAGTCCGACGACGGTGCCGCGGTCAGCTTCACCGCCAGGGCGAGTCGCCTGGCACGGCGCGCACAGCAGCGTGCCATCAGGAAGTCCCTCCTCGACTTCCGCGACTGGGCGGTCACCGGCGGTGCCACTGGAACCACGCATCGATCTCTACGACCGCAGCCACAAACAGCAGAGGTCATGCGGGCCGACGGACACACCATCATGCACCCCAAGGACCTCGTCGACCGCGAGGTCGGCAGCCGGCTGCAACTCTGGGCTCCCGCAGAGCTCAACTACACCGGCCTAGCCGAGGCCTTCCAGCGGATCGTCGAGCGCGCCCACGAGTGCAGCCAACCACCCATCACTGGCGACCTGCTGCACCAAGCCCTTCGACGACTCAAAGCCAACGCTGCCCTCGGCACCGACCGACTTCGGACTTCGACCTTCCGACCTCCTCCGGCTACCACTGACCGCCCTCGACGAGCTCGCCACCATCTTCAACGCCGCCGAGTGCACGTGGACTTGGCCACGCCAGCTCCTCAGCACGCTGGGCGCCATGCGGGACAAGAAGGACAACGGCGACCGCATCCTCGGCATCATGATTCTCATTGCCAGATTATGGTCCATGGCACGCGAAGTACACGCGCAGGAGTGGAGCAGGGACTACGTCAAACACTTGGGCGCCATGGCCAAAATGAACTGCGCCTTCAGGGAGGCGTACGGGCGCTGCCTCCAGCAGGAGATCTCCAACTACTTGGGCATTCCCCAAGCGCGCGACTTGCTCGACATCTCCCAACTCGACGACTCCATCCAGTGGACCACCCTTATCGACGAGGCCCTCGACCTCAACTTCCCACCTGATGTCCTCGGCCTCGAGGTGCCCCAGTGCATCGCGCCCCGATACCTCGCGCAGGGCGGAGCTTTCGCCGAGGCCGTCATGCCCACCAGATCGGTGGCCCAACGACTCAGGTCGGGCATTCGATTCGCCAAGATCATGACATACATGGCGATGCAACGCGTCACCACGCAGCACCCCGTCGCCCGACACCGCATCTGGGTCGACGACCTGTCCCAGCGCTTGCAGGCCAGCCGACAGACCATACGGCGGCACATGGTCAGCATGCTCCTCGACGCCTGCAGCGCGCTCCAGGATCAGGGGCTCGACGTCGCCAAGAAGAGCGTAATCTTGTGTGCGTTCCACCAAGACGACCGACACATAGCGCGTGCCATGAAACGCCATGGCTACCGCATCCAACCCAAGCACCAGGCCAGCTACCTCGGCGTCGACATGGCGCGCGGAGCACGACACGCTCGCAACGCAGCCACAGCGCGGACCAAGAAACACCAGAGTATGCGCTCCAATATCGTCCGCATCGCACGGGCCACTAGACGGCACCGTGTATCGGGCAAGCTTGGACTCCAAGGCGGACTCGCTTCGGCC